ATGGGCCACTCGGGGCCGCGCCGCCCCGTCCTGGATGCTGCTCACTCACTTCTGCGGGGATCTAAACAGGCGCCCCAATTCATGGGGGCGTCCTGGGCCGAAGCTGCTGGTGTTGGGAGGGGCGCTGGAGCGGCGTGTGCGGGACTGTCCTTCCAGCCAGCTCCAGGGACCCTGAGCGCTGCTGGCCACGCCGCCCGAGGTGGGGCTGGCTCAGCCCCCCAGGAGCACGTGGCCTCTGTGGCCATGAGCGAGAGGGCGACGGGGAGACACCGGGGTAGAAAGGCACAATTCTTTATAGATAAACAGTTCGTCCGGGTCAGTATTCACATGTGAAAAGCAGACACCACTCAGCACAGACCTTCCTGGGGTGAAACGCACATGCATCTGGCTCGGGCTCTGACCCCCCAACTGCAGGGCACCGCTTCCCCCGCTCTGGGGACCCCTCAGTAGAGCAGGCCCCCCTGCGCCAGTCATGAGCACGCCCCCCTCCCCAGACACCCTGGAGCCTGCGTGGGGCACGTGGGGCCTCCCGGAGTCAGCGTGAGCCCCTGCTCCTCTCCGTGCGCCCTCAGCTCCAGGTGCCCCTTGGCCAGGGCACCCTCCGGTCCTCGCTGCTCAGCAGCCGCGTCCCCCTCGTGGCTTCCCAGAGGGCCGGTGACGGGCCAGCGGGCCAGGAGCTGAGCGGCGCCGGGGCGGGGTGGAGGGCCGCCGGGCGGGGAGGCCTGCGGCCCCCGGGGCCTTGCTGCCGCCCTGCACCCAGGCCCACCCGCCAGCGGGGGCACCGCTCCTGCAGCCACAGGGCTCCCCAGACTGCGCCCTGCATTCCAGTCTGAGGAGTCTTCCGGCACGTCCTTCTCAGCGAGACCCAGGGCCCGCAGCCCCCGCGCTCCGGCCCGTGTGTCCAGACCCGGCCCACCAACACCCTGGCCTGAGAGGCCAGGGGGCTCGGGGTCGGCCGAGGCCCCAGACCGCGGAGATGAAGGCCCCTCACGGGCATCTGCAGGGCACGGGGAGGTGCTCCCGTGGACTCCAGGGGCAGGACCTAAGGAGATGGAAAAAGGCGCGTCCAGGGCTCGTCCCACCACTTGGGCCTCCGCCCAGACCACGGCCACGCTGCTGCTCCGGCGGCCCTCGGATGTGAACTTGCCTCCTCGGCATGGCACCTCCAAAGGCGAGTGGCTGAGGGGGACCCAGACTGGGGGGCTGCTCCTGGGCAGGTTCTCTGCCCGTGCCTGTCCCCCAACAGCACTGCTGGCCACACCCCGTGGACACCGAGCCCACAGGCCGCGTGTCGGGGCGGCCCTGCTCTCTCAGCCCAGCCCACCTGCCGGGGACCCGCGCTCACCCAGGAGCCCCAGCGCTCTACCGGGAGTGGTGTGGGTGATAGGACACTGGGGGCCACGGGTATCCGCCCAGGAAAGGCCGCCCCAGCCACGGAGCATGTTACCCTCGCCTGCAGCCGGGGCCCACGAGGCTGGCTTCGGGTGGCTGCCTGGGCTGCGGTCCAGGGGCAGGGCCCCTCTTCGGGCCCTCTTCACCCAGGCCGGCGCCCCCCCTGCATTCTGTAGGAGAAGACCCAGTCAGCCCAGGCGGGAAGACGGGGTGCTGGCTGGCCGGTCGCCACGGCACCCCCTCCAGACGCAGCCACGCCGCCAACCACGCCACCTCAGGCCCCCTCTTGGGCGCACAGGCCAGCTCCGGCTCCTCCTCCTGCCCGCCGGTGCGCGTGGGCGCGGGGCTGTCCCCATGCACGGCTTCCCTCGGGGGTCCTTCCAGGATTCCCAGCGACTCGGCCAGCTGCAGAGAAAGGGCCAACAGGGAGCCCCTCAGCACACAGCCGGACGCAGGTCTGGGCCCAGCCAGACAGTGGGAAGGTGAGCAGAAGGCCAGCTGGGGGCGCTGGGGGACAATCCTGATCAGACCCGCTCGTCATGCTGTCCAGGGAGGACACCAGCCTTGCAGCAGAAACACCAGGCGCGCTCTGCGCCGCCCGCAATTAGCTGAGGCGACACCACTAGCCCTCTGGCCCGTTACCTCCTTTCTTTGAGTCCCCATGGCCCTCAGAAACCACCCGCATACTCCAGAACCAGCCGGGGTGTGCAGGAGGCCTGGGCCGAGGCAGGTGAGCCGGGGGGGCCCCCTGTAGGTCCGGCCCCAGGGCCGGCCTGCACTGGGGTCCCTGCCGCTGCCTGGGGGCGGGGGAGGGGAGCTGGGAAGAGCGGAGAGTGGCCGTGAGGTGCCGCTAGGAACGGAGCCCGGCTGCGGGCGAGGCCGGCGGGAGCTGTTACCTTGCTGTTGCCTATCTGCAGCGGCCCCGTGCGCGCCGGGCCAGAGCCGCTGAGGTACTCCCGGCACAGCTTCCTGACCTCCGCGTGCAGCTCCTCGAACTCCCTGTACACGGCTGGGAAGAAAGGCTGCCCCCCACGGGTCTCTCCCGCCTCGGTGAGCGATGGCAGAGAGCAGACCTGAGGCAGCCAGGGGAAACAGGAAGAAACTGAGAGGAGAGGGCCACGGCTCCTCCCACCCGCCATGCAGCGCCAGCGGCCCCCTGCTCCCCAGGGCGCTGCTGCGCCCAGCACTGTGCTCACCCCAAGCAGAGTGGGCCAGGCGGTTCCCTCTGTGCCAGCCTGGGCCAGGTCTCCCCGCCCGGAACGGCCCGTGGCTGCCGTGGGCCGCCGTGGCCGGAAGCTGCCCCTTTGCGCCTTGCGCTTACTTGGGGCCGGGGCGCGGCTGTCTCCACGCCCGCTGCGGCTGCCCTGCAGGGGCGCGACGCCGCCTGGCCCTTCTGGGCGCACACTGGCTCCGCCACTTAGGAACACCGGCGAGACTCACCCGCATCAGCAGGAATTCATACACGGTCACCGCCTGAGCCAGCGTGGGGAGAGCCAACGCCACCAGGTCCTCCGGGTCGCACTGCTGGAGAAACTGCCAGAAGACAGCCTTTGACACCCCCAAAGTCCCGTAAGAACGCCCCCAAGGCAGCAAGGAGGAGCCACAGAGCCCCGCCATGTGCTCCCCACATTCTCCGCCGAGCCACTGTGACGTGGCTCATCACACGTGTGATGTGTCACCAAGCGGCTCGTTCAGCCTGGAGGTGGGGCCGGGCCTGTGACGTCACTGGCCACAGGGGTGCGGTCTGGGCCAGGCCCTCCAGGGCACCCCAGCAAAGGCCGAGACCCGAGCAGCCCCCAGCGAGGCGACGCCACGAGCCGCACAAAGCCCAGGCGGAGGGAAGCGGCAGGAGTGGGGGGCGCAGGTGCACCGTCCTCTGGGCTTGGCGACTGGACGGGGCGGGCAGTCACGGGTGCTCTGGAGCCGCAGCAGAGCACCGGGAGGACCCCTGACAAGGCTGGGGCCAGGGGCCAGCGTGGGTGCTGCGTAGGGGTGCTGATGGCGGCTCTGGAGCGCCGAGCCAGCAGCACTGACGTGGGAGGCGCAGAGGGAAGATGGTCTGGGAATCGGGGAGGGAGGAAATGGGAGTCAAGGAAGTGAGGGCCAAAGACACCAGGGAGCCTCAGAGACACCAGAAGGAGGGTTGGGGGGGGGACAGAGCCCCCAGAAGCAGCAAGGCACCAAACGATCAGAAAAGCAAGAGGAAGCCTGTGCGGTCTGCAAGGGCAAATTAGGGGAAAATGACGCCCTGCTCTGCCCTCACGCTCACAGGCTGCCATCTCCCCAAGGGGGCTGTGTCTGCGGCGCACCCTGCCCCCCACGGCCCGGCAGGGCCAGCCCCAAAGGCAGGCTGGCATTCTGCCACCGCCACCCCGCGCAGCGACCTGGACACGCGCCCGGGTGATGCTGCATCTCCAGTCCTCGTCCAGTAAGTGAGCGTGGAATGGTCAGGGAGGCACCTGGGTGCCGGCTGGCGGGGAAGGGCCGGCCCTAACCTGGCTGCCGGGGAGTCAGGACTGTGCCCGAGCCTCCTGGAGCCAAACGAGCTGGCTAGGATTTAAGCTTCCTGCTGAAAGCGTCTGCAGACAGCAGGAAACTGTGTCTGCCGGTTTCTGGGCCACCTGCATGCAAACACAGCTCACAGTTGCCCCAAACGGACTCGGGCAGGCAGGCGCCGGCGCCGTGTTTCTGGGGGCAGCGTCCCGCCTGAGGGAGGATGCTCCCGGCGCTGCAGATGAGGGCCTTGTGCGGCTTGTGCCCCGCGGGCAGCCGGCCCAGGCCCTGTGCAGACGTGGGGTTCGGGGCAGCCTCTAGCAGCTACGCACCTCCTTGAGCCTGGCTGGGCACCTGGCGGCACTGGCCTTTGGGCGCCCTGGCCTGCTCTGCTCCCGGCCCAGGGCGCTGGGTTCTGCGCGGGCTGCGGACGGGACTCTTCCAGGCCCACGGCGTGTCTCCGACCCCGGAAGGGCTGAAGCGCTTCCATCTCCCAGCCCGGGCACCGCCGTCTCTCCCGCGTCCGCAGACTGGCCCTTCTGGTCAGCATCGTGCACGCACAGGAGAAGAGAGCTCGGTGAGGTCAAGACCCGCTACCTGCAACCGCCCATCTCCAATTTTCCCATCAAAGCGCCGCTTCGGGGCCCCACAAGTCCGGCCCAACAAGCCACAGCCTGCTCCTGCCCACAGCGGAATGAGCGCGTCTCAGGTGTGCGCCGAGGGCCTCCCTGGTGGCGCAGGGGTTAGTCTCGGCACTGTCAAGCGACTGCCACCACAGTGCTGCAGCCCGAGCGCGACTCCCGCCGGGGGTGACCACGGGCGCACAGACCCCTCCTGCCTCCCTCAGCAGTGGTTTCAGTGCATCCGCCTGTTCTGCTCCCCACTCTGTCTCTGGTGACTCCTCTCAAATCTCCTCACACACCTCCGGCCTGTAGCCCAGTTCTTGTATGAATATATATTTTTTAATTTTTTAAAAAAGAGCACAGGCCCTCCCTGGTGGCGCAGCGGGTTAAAGCACAGCACTGAGAATCTAAAGCCACATGAGTTCGATCCCCGCCTGCCCCGGAGGTGACCACATGGCGCGGCAGACCTCTCCTGACCCGCCCGCTGCTCCCCTCAGCAGTGTACTTCGTCGATCTGCCTGTTCTGCTCCCCACTCTGTCTCGGGTGAATCGCCTCACCCTCCGCATCTCTGGCCTGTGCCCCAGTTCTGTATGCACAAATAAATAAATCTTTAAAAAAAAAAAAGAAAGAAAGAAAGCACAGCCTTCAGTGGTTTGTCTGTGGACAGGGCTGTGACCGGGGCCACTCCAGGGGAGCTTCACACGCACAGCCCACGCCTCGCGCCCCCCCCCCCCCCCCCCCCCCCCCAGCGTCTCTGAGGAGTGCCGGCCCGACCCCGCCAGCTGCCCCTCCCGCAAAGGGAGGACGGTGGCCGTCTGCATCTCCCAGGGCCGAGGGAAGCCTGAGCAGACGGGACGCGCAGACAGGCGCAGTGTGTCCTCTCGACGCCCTCCAAACCACTACCGAGGGCGCTTCGGGAGGAAAGCTGGGCCTCTGAGCACCTGGCACCCTGCGGGCACCCCACGAGGAGAGGGAGAAGGCGGCACGACTCCCGTGGCCCTCGCCACCCCCAGGAGTCACACGGTGTCTGTGTTCAGGAATCAAATGCTCCGAAGCGGCCTTTGCAGGGGGGGGGGTCCCCACTGGTGAGGCCCACACAGCCGCCTGGCCTCCGCCGGCCGCCATCTCGCACAGCAGCCCCTTCGCGCTGGTGTCCTGGGCTGCACGAGACACAGCCGGCTACAGCAGAAAGGATTCTCAGGAGTTGGGGTTTCACCAGCGGTTGAGGCACAGCGCCCCCTACAGCAGCAGCCCAGCCTGGAGAGTGGGCTCTGACGCGAGACCTGGGCCCCACACCCTGGCCTCGCTGAGCGCCAGGCACCTGCCTTCAGGGCCCCACGGGGTGTGCCTCGCGTGTCACCACAGCCAGGGCTGCGGAGAGCTGGGGCCCACCTTGCAGGGCCCCACTGCTAGGCCTCACACAGACCTCTGGGCGCAGACCAGCCCCGCAGCACAGCCTCCAGCCTCCCTCCCCTCAGGAGCCCACCCCTGCAGGGCCCGGGGTGGCCAGAGCAGGACCCGCTGGCTCTCTACACCTTCCAAGTCACTCAAGTCTCAGACTCCTGCCAGCTGACACAGGCTCCGCCTCTGCTCTCTACATCGCACTGCAAGCCAGAGGCGGGCGTGGCGGCCAGCCAGAGCCCCGCCGGGCCGGCCAGCAAGGCCGAGGCGGCACAGGATGGGAGGCCCCGGCCCAGGCCCATCGGTGGGCACAGCCTGGGGCAGACGCCGGCCGGGGAACTCGGCTCGCACCTGCCGCGTGGGCGGGGCTGGGGCAGCAGTGTTCCTGCTCTGCTCCAGAGGCCCCCAGCCGGGGCCGGCCCCCGTGTCTCACCGGCCCCAAGACCTGCGGCTGTGCCAGCTGTCTCGAGTGTGGCCGCTGGGTCTGCCGAGGACACCGAAGGGAGAGGCAGCCGGGCGCCCCGGGCAGGGCGCGAGCCACCTCCCCCGGCACGGCGGGGCCTGGATCCCCGGCCGAGCCTGCGTCCAAACCCCACCCGACACCCAGAAGTTCCTGGGGGCGGCAGGCAGGGCCCAGGCGCTGTCACCCAGAAGCCTTACCTGCAGGCCGGGCCGCGCGCGCTGGGCCACCTCCTCAGGCAGCAGGGCCGGTGTGGACAGCTGCGACGAGGCCGGGCTCCGGGCCCGTCCCTCCTGGGGGCCCCGGGCCATGCTCCCAGCGGCCTTCTCCAGAGGCACCAGTGTGGGCTCCAGCTGCCCATGGCTTGGGTGCAGCCTGAGGTGCCGGGCCAGCCCCCCCCTTCCTATGTACGCCTTCTCGCACGCCGGGCAGCTGAAGGTCTTGGGCCTCAGGGCGCAGCTGGCCGCGGCGAAGGGCAGGTGCTCGCGCCGTGGGGCCTCGTCCTCCTCCAGGCTCAGCTCCGAGTAGTCGTCCGAGTCCGACAGGCGGCCGTCGGCCAGGTCCTCCGTCTTGATGAATCTGTAATCTTTAGCTTTGTGCTTGGGAGGCCGAGAGACCCGTCCAGAACGTGTTTTCACGTTTAAAGGCTTTCTTACTTTTTCGGGGCGCTCGCAGGGCCCGTCAGAAGCAGCTGTGTTCACGGGGCCGGAGGGAGCAGATGTGGCTGCCGGCGGGCCAGGGGCTGACAGAGAGGGGCCCTGTCCCTCTGGCGCCACAGGGGCCGCCGCTCTCCTCACAGGGACGGGCTGGAGGGCGGGCAGTGGCTTCAACACAAGCAGCCCCAGGGGAGGCTGCGGTGAGCCCCCCGGGGAGCCAGCCCAAGGCGCAGCTCTGGGGAGGGGCGGCGTCCCAGAGAGGCTCCCGGGCCACTGGCTCGGGGGACACACGGTGGCCAGCTGGGGCGTCAACCTCTCCTGGCCTCTGGCTTCTCCAGATGTCACCCCGACACAGATGGATTCCAGTTGCTTTGACACAAAGAGAAAAGAAGAGTCACGCTTACCAGTGTTTGCAACTTTGCGGTTCTGCAATTTTCTCCATCTGGAACCTCCTGAAATTCTTTTTCTAAAGTACAGAATACATGAGGTAAAGTCTACAGCGTACAGAAAACGTGTCTAATGTATCTGTAGCCGGGCATTTTTTGCCTTGTGCACGCACAGGAGAAGAGAGCTCGGTGAGGTCAAGACCCGCTACCTGCAACCGCCCATCTCCAATTTTCCCATCAAAGCGCCGCTTCGGGGCCCCACAAGTCCGGCCCAACAAGCCACAGCCTGCTCCTGCCCACAGCGGAATGAGCGCGTCTCAGGTGTGCGCCGAGGGCCTCCCTGGTGGCGCAGGGGTTAGTCTCGGCACTGTCAAGCGACTGCCACCACAGTGCTGCAGCCCGAGCGCGACTCCCGCCGGGGGTGACCACGGGCGCACAGACCCCTCCTGCCTCCCTCAGCAGTGGTTTCAGTGCATCCGCCTGTTCTGCTCCCCACTCTGTCTCTGGTGACTCCTCTCAAATC